TTAATTCATTGATATTGATGAGATTGATGGTTCAAAATATTATACCCTCATGAATATCTGTTGGGGAAAATAATATATCAGTCTTAAAATAATTTTCTTTGAACTATCATAAGCTTTGATAATGTCTAATTTATTCTAAATAGTCAGAGCTCCCTCATCTATCTACCATGGTGTCACTAGAGCTGCTTTTTGGTCTTGATGAGCTCTTTAGAAGCTCTTTGCTAAAAGGAAAGTGTTGGCAGCAGAAGGGGTCTCCTATTAGCTTCCAGCAAAATGACTGAACAGCAGGGTTCCCAGGGAACCAGCCATCAATCAAGGAAGAGAACCCTTCCAATGTCGGAAGAGAAAGCTCTGGGCTGAGGGAGAATTCAGAACTGCTGGAGCAGAGGCTGCAGAATCTGTGCTGCTGCTTCTCCATCCTGGGCCCCTGCAGGTTAGAGCCCCCTTCTGACCTCTACATTCTTACCTGTGTGAACACACACGTGGCCCCAGAATCCTTCTCAACACTCTAAGTAAGCACAACTATGGTCTAGAGCTGGTCCTCAAGATCAGATAGACTTCCCACCCTTGGAGAAGAGATTAAGCATTGTCTCTTTTCCCCATGAATGCATGAAGGTACAGGATTCAGGAAATACCATCATGGCACCCTGCCTAGAACGCTGGTGTGGGTAATCTCGACAATGGTGGGTCCAGCACCATTGGGAACAGCTGAAGGGCCAGGGCTAGAGGAGTGGACACCGACAGGGACAAAGGGGACACATCAATGAGAACCATTCCACCTCCTCCTGCACTGGGTCAGTCCTGCACACAAAAGGAAGGACTCCAGCCCGTTTTCAGGGCAAAACAAAAATTATAACCGAGCACCAGACCCCACATCAGCTATTTACAGCATGAACTCAAGACTCAAAAATGCCCGGCGAGGTGTTTATGACAACACTCTCCAAGGACGTAAATGGAAATTACTAAAATTATAGGTGACTTGGCTATTTAGGGGCAGTTACACACATTTCTAAATTGGAATGATGCTTGGCTGGGTGGAAGCCTTCAACATTCCACAGCCCTTCTTAAAGCCACATAATATTAAAGACGGTTTGAGCCTGAGTACATGAAGCCAGATCACGTGTTGATATTTGCAGACCTGGGATTCTTACACAAGATCATACTCTGTGAGTCTTGACTGTTCATGGGTCCTTGTGTTTGAATATTTGCCCTGGTGAAGTAGCTGTGACCTTTAGACCAGAAACCAAATGTTTATTTGTGGAATTTTGCCTTGCCCACACTTTACCAAAATAACAAGAAAACTAGCCTTTTCCTATGCCTGAACTGCATCTTCTTCCCATCACATTCTTGTAATCCTGGGAACATATGTTTAAGGAAAAGGACTCCACATTCACACATTCCTCAAAAAAATACAACAAATTATAATTCATGGAAAAAGTCGGCAAGACTTTTCCCGAAACATACAACAAATAAGAGACATGTGGAATTTATGTTTTTTCTCACCATTGTCTAAAAATGATGACCACCAACACTTGATTGCTCTAATTGCTAAGGGTTTGGTGGCACTTATGTATCTCTGTTTCCATTAGAAGCAAGGAGAACGACGAAACCTACAATTTGATGTCTAAAATGATATACTGGGACTACGAAAATAACACTAGGACAAGCTTATCATGTTTATGTCAATCCTACTAGCATTTTGAGATGTTTTGTGAGGTTGACTAAACCAAGAATTTCTGGGGGAAAAACTTTAGCAAACAGAGAAAGAGAGAGAGAAATAGACTTGGGGTTAGTAGACAGCGGTTAGGACGGAGCAGAGAGAACTCAGGCAGAAAAAGATGCTAATGAGAGAGAGGTAGGCATGCAAGATGCAAGAAGAGAGAAACAGGAGAGAAGAGACTTCCTTCCCCCACCCCCACCCCCACCCCCAGTAATTTCATCTTCCCATTTCAGAGTTTCTAGATCAAAGGATTCAAAGCTAGCATGCTCTCTACATCATATCAAATTGAATTCCAGATGGTTAACTGAAACTTAAGAAGTCACGAAATGAATTAGAAGAAATTATAAGTAAATAATCCTGTGGTGAGAAAGAGCTTTCCTGGTATAATTCCAAAGAAATAAATCATAATGGAGACATCTACACAGTTCACCCTCTGAACATTAAAAACTATAAGCAAAATGTAAACATAAGTGGCATATAAAGAATGTATGTTCTGTATATGTATGGCTAAGTCTCTTTGCTGTTCACCTGAAACTACCAGAACATTGTTAATCACCTATACTCCAATACAAAATTAAAAGTTTGAAGTTTTTAAAAAAAGACTATATATTCTTGGGAATTCTCTGGCGGTCCAGTGGTTAGGACTCAGCGTTTTCACCGCCTGGGGCCCTGGTTCTAAGATCCTACAGACCTCGGAGCAAGTGCAGCCAAAAAAAAATGAATATATATATATGTTCAGTACATAGGATGAAAGTGTGTGTCACATGATATACAGGGAACTCTTAAAAACAAATGAAGAAAAGATAAATCCTTGGGGGAAACAGGCAAATAACAAGGACAAGCAATTGACCAAAGAAAGTCAAGGATCCATTAAACAATGTCCTACATGCCATGATTTTCCAAAGATGAGATGTGAAAGCAATAGGACCACTTTTCTGTGATGGGAAAGGCATAGAAAGTCAGGCCCTCTCATGGGCTGGTGGTAGGGATGCTAAGTAACACATACTCTCAGGAATGCCATTTGACAAAATACCATAAAAGCCTTTCCCAATGTGTGCCTGAGTTCTGATGTAATGATTACATATCTAGGAACTTATCTTAAGGAAAATATTAAAGATGTTTGCATCTTTGCAGACATTTCACTAACAAGATTCAATCATGGCTACATTTTAATAAAGAAAAGTTCCTTTTATAAAGAGGAATTCCCTGAAAGTCCAGTGGTTTAGGACTCCATGCTTTCACTGCCAAGGGCACAGGTTCAATCCCATCCCTAGTCAGGGAAATAAGATCCCACAAGCTGCACAGTGGAGCAAAAAGAGGGAAAAAATTTTATTAAAAAATAAATTAAAAAAGAAGAGTCAGCCACAATAAAAATATCCAATAATGGGGGATGGGACATAAACCATTCTAAAAACTCAAGACAATGGAATATTAAAAAGCCATCAAAATGATGCTGTGGAAAGGGATTAAATGACATGGAAAGAGTATACATTTTCAAGTGGAAAAAGCATAAATGAGTTGAGGTGAGCAAGGCTCTGGGGATGGAGTCAGTCACATAGTAAGTTTCAGCTTTATAAGGGCTACTTTATTCGGAATTCCATTTCTGAATGGAAAATGTGCACAAAATCACAAAATATATGTATATCGAAGCATCTAGTTAGTTTAGAAGTATTGGAGATTTTTATTTTCCTCTTTTGTTCATCTGTACTTTCTCTTTTTATCAAAGTATAGTTGACTTACAGAATTATATTAGCTTCAGGTGTATGACAGTGATTCAAGATTTTTTCAGATTATAATCCCTTTAAAGTTACTAAAACATAAAGGCTGTATTTCCCTGTATTTATGTATTTTATACATAATAGTTTGTACCTCTTAATCCCCTACCCTTCTCTTGCTCCTCCCCCCACTTTGCCCACTTGTAACAACTAGTTTATTCTCTGAGTCTGTTTCTGTTTTATTAATTTCATTGTTTGTCTTATTTTTCAGATTCCACATATAAATGATAACATAGTGAAATAAATCAGCCATAGAAAGGCAAATATTCTGTTATCCCTTGTCTGTATTTTCTGACATTTCCACGAGTGGTATTTATTGTTTATACAGACACTGAGGCAAAGTTTTTAAAAATTATGCTGTGTATTAATAGCTAATGACAGAAACCCATTTGAATAAGGAAATGAGATTACCAATCAATGTTATTAATCACATATTTAAATATAAGCATTACATTATACATATTTGTAAATAAACATAAGTACTGCATATTACCTATATATGCAAATAAATTTTATATGTACATATAATAGAAAAAGGATTGGAAACATGTACCGTAAAATGCTAACAAGCTTCAGTGATTATTTCTGGGTGTTGTGAAAATAAGCAATTTTCAGGGGTTCTGTGTGTGTGTGTTCCCTATTTTCCAAAACAGATGTTCAGCAAATGTTTTTCATTTATAATAAACAAAAAGTTTTTTTTAAAAAATACACAACCCCTGAGATAAGGCAGGACCTCCTACAATGTAAGTGATGTCCCGTTTACCGGTCCATCCAGCATCAGCACCTTTTTGTCACCTTTTTGGACCCTCCGCACTCACTCACAGGTGAGCTGAGCAAGTCCGGCTGATTCATTGTACCACGTTTGGCATTTCTCCTCTCTTGGTTTCCACGGCCATCTCTCTAATTCAGACTCTCCTTGCCTAGTCAAGGCTTTCACAAGGACATGTCCCAACTCAGAGATGTCCACTGTTCCCCTAACCAACATGGAATTGAAACCCTCCCCCAACACTTCCAGGCCTCTCACCCATCCTGTTTCTTCATACACACCCTCCATTAGGAATCACAGCCAAACTGTCTCTCCTTACTATTGTCCAAATGCACTTTTTCCAGCTTCCATTTTGCTTGAAGGACCCAGACAACCACCTTCCCAGAAACCTCTCTCCTCTCAAAACCCACCTGCCAGGACAGGATCTCTGTCCCCACAGCCTCAGAGGAAATACACTTCTCCTTTCCAGCCCATTCATATTGCACAGAATAACAGGAATAATACAAATAACTGTTCTTACCTAGTCTGTTACATTGTATTTCTCTAGCCCAGAAGCCTAGTAAATCATAGGGAATGAAGGTTTGGATGCAAAGAAAGCATTCTCCAAGACAGGACCCCAGTACGTGTCTATAAATACGATCCTTTAATAAGTGAACAGATCATCCCTTGCATAAGTGCGGGCGCAGCGCCCTGGTCCCGCCTGGTCCCGAGAGCGCCAGGTCTGGTCCAGGGAGAGCCCCTAGCAGAAGCCCACCAGGCGCAGGGTGCTGGGGAAGCTTCTGCGCATGCTCATGCACTTGTCCTGGTCGATGTATAGAGAGTTGGCCTTGAGCGCCAGATCATGCTCCAGCGTGGCCTTGGTGTGGGCCAGCGACTGCAGTGTGTCCTCCGCGTCCCTCAGGCGCTGCTGCAGGGTCTGGATGGTGTCGTCCACCTCGTACACCTCGTTCACCAGCCTGCATGGGGAAGAGGTGCCCATTAGGTTAGCAGAGGTCAGGCTGGTCACTACTCCGCCGGGGGCGCGTGTGCTTCCTGCATTCGCACCGCTCACCCCAACCTCAGAACGACTTCATATAGCACAGGAACAGTATCGGTGCGCAGTTGCTTGAGACCAGGGGCGCCCCTGTGGTCCATAACCAGAATCCAAAAGGCTGGGGGACACCAGCGAGTTTTCATGCTCGCATTGGTCATACACACACGCATATTGAAAGCTGTATTTTTTTTTTAAAGGCCAACTTTTAAACTTTTGATTTTCTTTTAAATAATAAAGATTTGGGGAAACTGAAACAGCTTGTCATGCATTGATGTCATCATTAAAAATGGCTTGCATAGTTAGGAAGAGGGGGACACCCGATTGTATTCAGTGGCTAGAATTCAGCCCAGTCTGTTAACTATGGGGGAGGGGTGAGTTAACGGGGTACTTCTCCAAATATGATGCCCCTCCCCCAACCAATGCCCCAGAGTTCCAGAGTAAACACGGAAATGTCAAAAACCTAAGAGAATATGAAAATGACAATGCATGAAATCAGCTACATGAGCCAAGAAACAAGTTGCAGTTCTGATTGTGCCGCTGATGAAAAACATGACACGTTTTTCCTTAAGACAGAAAGGAAAAAAGGCATGATTTTGAATTAAAAAAAAAAAGAAATCTAGCATCTCCCTCTCAAATTATTTTAACCCATATTGTTTTCACTTTCATTTCTTTAATTATCAGTGAACCTTTCCTCAATGTCTATTGGGCATTTGCAATTCTGCAAAAACAACTGGGCAAATGTTTTCCCTAATTTGTTTTTGACTTTTAATTAACTTATGATATTTTTGTTAAAAGTAAGATTTCAATTTTTAGTAAGCTGTCTTTCTTTTTCTTTGTGATGTTTTCTATTGTTTTTATATTTAGAAACCTTTTCTCTTCCCAAAGAACAATGAAGCAAGGACTCCTTTACAGTCTGATCTGGCCAATAATATCCAAAGGATATGACCACATGGTCAATCAAGAGAAAGAATATGAAACAGGTTACAAAATGACAATAATGATGATAATTAATCTATTGACTGCATTAGTTTATGTGTATATATACACGCATGCTCAATCTCTCAGTAGTATCTGACTCTGTGACTCCATGAACTGTAGCCCACCAGGCTCCTCTGTCCATGGAATTTTTCAGGCAAAATACTGGAGTGGGTTGCCATTTCCTCCTCCAGGGGATCTTCCCAACCCAGGGATCAAACCCACGTCTCCTGTGTCTCCTGAATTGGCAGACGTTTTCTTTACCACTGAGCCACCTGTGAAGCCAGTGAAAACATCAACTCCAAATTCATCAAATTTTGACCAGCAATTGAAAGCTAAAGTTTTCCTTATTTGGAGGTTCATTTATCACGAGACTGGAGTGCATGAAATTAACTAAAATGTACCTTAATCTAAAGAGAAGAGCGACAGTGAACAAATAGGGATGGGGACATCCCTGGAGCTAGAAAATGATCTCATGATCATAGAAAAATATTTAGACCATGTTTAAATCATTATACCAAGGCCATCTTAAGGCTCCACAGAACTTTACAACTGAAGAATAAATGTGAGAGGTCATCAAGCCAAGCTTCCTTGTTTTACAGTTGAAGAAACTAAACCCCAGGGACTGATGAACTGCCCTCCCTACGGGCACACATCCATGTTTATACACAGCATGGTCATCCAGGAAGATGGAAGGAAATCAGGGGCCTTGACAACCATAATAAAGAACTGAGTCCCATTTCCTGCCCAACCCGCTCAGAACCCAGAAGCAGAGAGCAGGGAAGCTGGCCTCTGCATTCTCTCCTGCTCATGAATTTGAACAAAGTGAAGAGTTTGACATAAAAGGATAAAGGAATGATTTCTTCATTGTGTTAACTTGTGTTGAATAATATTATGTGAGAACAAGAGGAAATAACATCAATGTCTGATGATAACAGACACCATAGCTAGATGATGGGGTACTACACAGCCATACCTTTTATAAAAGAATTTGTTCTTGCCTTGGGATTCCCTGGTGGCTCAGTGGGTAAAGAATCAGCTTGCAATGCAGGAGACGTGGGTTCTATCCCTGGGTCAGGAAGATTCCCTGGAGGAGGGCATGGCAACCCTTGTCTAGAAACCTATGGACAGAGGAGCCTGTCGGGCTACAGTCCATGGGGTCCCAAAGAGGTGGACATGACTGAAGTGACTGAGCATGCATGCGCATGGGGAAAGAGACTCAGAATATAATTTAATATTGGTTGAAAACATTAAGCCCCCAAGCCCCAGGTTGGGGGGCACTGCAAAGCACCCCCAAAAGGCTCATAACAAGCCGGTGCACACCCACACTGTGACTTCATCTCAGAACCTGACCTGTTTTCTTATGTTGCAGTGGGGGAGGGGAGGAATTAAACTTTTGTGCCAAAGTTTCCTTTGGTCTAAAATCAGTAAATGCAGTATCTGAGAACAGAGCTAAAAGCATATTTTTTTTGTTGTTGTTAAAGTCAAGTTGGATTTTAAAAGATAAGTTTCTTTTTTGAAGATCCCAGGGTTTACAATACCACTAGCAAAGAAACAGGTCTTCAGAGAGACTGTTGGATAGGGCTGGGGGTAGGATTTACGAGGGCTCGTTGTTTATAATCACACCGGCCTGCTTCTCGTCTCGCATCCTTCACTGAGCTGTTTTCACTGCTTCAAAAGGAACCCTGAACCCGAAGGTAGGGACGGAGCAGGATTATATGAATCTTTACTCCTCCAAGCCAAATATGTTAGTCTAGTTGGAAATTTATCTGTGAGAGATCTTCTGAAGAAAGACACATTAAAATATCAATTTCTTAAAAGGAATACAATTTCTTAAAAAGATACTTAGAATGCAGGCAGCTAGCATCCTTGTTTTCCTATTGCTTTGTGAAGGCAGCACAGAGGTATTACGCCTCCCTCAACTTGCACCACTACAAATACATTTTTCCTCCTCTTTCAAGGCCACGTTCCCCTCTCAGTTTCCTTATTTTTTTGGCAGACTGCAGAGAGCCATTCCCCTGGAACCACTCCTTCTGGGGGAAATCACAGAACTGAAAAACAGCTTGCATTCAAATACAAATAAAACTACCATCGTTTGAAAAAAAAAATCAAGATGAAGTACAGCAGAGCCTGGTCTGGCCTGCCACCAAGGATGCCAAGAATGTTTAGAATTGCTCTTGAAAGGACCCATTTAGAAAAACTTCAAATGCAAAGCAAAGTCTTGAAATGAAAACAGCACTTCTTCTCTGTCCCCACTCCCCTTAGTTCAGGGTTCTTATGTTTTCCTCATCCAGACAGCCAAAGGCTGCTTTCAGAATGCTCGATTGAAAAAGAAAAATAATCCCCTCCCTCAATAATCATCCTCAATTCCACAGTTGTTCCTCTGGGACCATATTTTTGGCAACGACATTTTAACAAGAAATCTTTATGGAAACAAAAGCAGGTTTTGTCCTGAAGTTGGTAAAGGAGCAGAGGAAACAGACACACAGCAGGGTCGCCAGGAAGTAAAGAAAAAAAAAAAAAAGCAAATTCTGCTCAGCCGGGAAGGGGGAGAAAAGAGGAGAACGCATTCAGCATCTTAGAAGTGGCTGTAAACACCTCATTGTCTGATAACTGCAACGTCAAATTTGACCATGACCCAAAACACTTCCAGAAAGCAACCCTGTGCTGGTCTGATGGCAGCCTGGACAATTTCTCTCTCCCCCCCTCTACTTTCGATGACTTTGCAGAAATTGTCAGAGCATGAAACTGCAGCTCAGCTTTTCCTAATAATATTTGCATAAAACCACAATTCATGATCTAATCTAACTGGCCAAATGGGTGTGACCCCACTCACTACCAGGTTCCTGTAATAAACAGACACTTCTGACTGGCTGCCTCCGGAGTAGAGCCCATTTATCCTCTGAGATGGGCTGTGTGTGAGTAGGGGTTCTGTGGAACCCACTTGGAGAAAGGTGGCCTGGGTGGACAGCTCCACTGAGAGAAACGCAGCTGCTGCGGGAGATGAAGGCCAGTGGCATGTGGTCTAGAGCCCGTCTCTCAGCATCCAACACAGACAACATGCACGGAGGGGGCTCTGCAGTGATGCTTCCTTTGTGACCCTCAGGTTCATCTTCTCCGAGAGCCAGATGTAGCCTGGGCTCAGCTACACCATCCCACGGCCCATCCAGAAGCCAGAGGAGCTCAGGCCCAGGACGGGGGGTGCCAGGGGTCCCACCCAATGAAAAAGAAGCAGAAGTAAATCGCCAACTTGGCTGAATGGAGCTCAGCAGCAGACAGACAAGGATTCTAACTATCCTCCCAGCAGGTGCCAGCCAGGAGACGTCCCTCAGCCCACGTCTGCCTCAGTTTCCTTATTTATAAAGTGAAGCTCATGCAGGAGGTAAAGTACACAGGACAGCGCCCAGCACAGAATAAGATCAATAACTCACAATGGCTCTGGTGACTGTCAGGCTTCCCTGGTGCCTCAGACAGTACAGTGCCTGCCTGCAATGCAGGAGACCCGCGTTCAATCCCTGGGTCAGGAAGATCCCCTGGAGAAAGAAATGGTGACTCACCCAAGTATTCTTGTCTGGAGAATTCCATGGACAGAGGAGCCTGGTGGGCTACAGTCCAGGGGGTTGCAAAGAGTCAGACTTGACTGGGAGACTAATACTTTCATGGTGATTGTCAGCATCACCACCTTTATCATCTTCATTATTTCTGGCTTCACAAAGACCCCCCACTGGACGTACGTATACCTATGGCTGATTCACATTGACGTTTGACAGAAAACAACAAAATTCTATAAAGCTATTATCCTTCAATTAAAAAATAAACAACAACAACAAAAAGATGCCCCCACCCCTTCCTTCCCTCCGGGAAACGCACAGCCTCACCCTCCTGCTTATTCCCTGGGTACGAGCTCAGAGTCCTTTCGTCCCTAGATAGAAGGGAACTCTATCGTGGAGCAGGCAGATGACAAGGCCAGTGGCCTCTCCCCTCTGCACAAGTTCAAGTGTTCCCCATCACTCCTCCAGTTGCTATAAATTTGACTCGCTTCTACACAAATTGTTTCAAGACCTAAGCAGAGCCATGATGAAATCCAGAAAGAGGCAGACAGGCTGGTACTGAGAAATTGGAAATGAAGCCAGAATTGGGGTGAGGGTGGCCAAGTCCACACAAGGCCATCTAAAAGGAATCTTCAAGGTTAAAATGATAAGAATAAAATACACCTAGTGTCCAGCAGATGCAGTGTGGAGTCAGCTCCCTCCCACTGAGCACACGTGGGAGATGCTTGATGAAGACCAGCTGCTTTCAATTTCTACTGAGAACAAAAACAAACTGAAATGAGCTGAGATGAATCCTAAGGATGCTCTGACGGAGAAGTCAATGGCACCCCACTCCAGTACTTTTGCCTGGAAAATCCCATGGGCAGAGGAGCCTGGTAGGCTGCAGTCCACGGGGTCACGGAGAGTCGGACACGACTAAGTGACTTCACTTTCACTTTTCACTTTCATGCATTGGAGAAGGAAATGGCAACCCACTCCAGTGTTCTTGCCTGGAGAATCCCAGGGATGGGGGAGTCTGGTGGGCTGCCGTCTATGGGGTTGCACAGAGTTGGACATGACTGAAGCGACTTAGCAGCAGCAGCAGCAGCAAGGATGCTCTGAAGGACCAGAGCAGGTATTAGCTGCCCAAAGAGGTGAAAGAGAGCAGTGGTGGGAGCAGACAGATGGGGTCTGGGGAGCTGGTGCCCAAAGTCCTTTTTCTGATGAGTCCAGGGGACTGAGAAGCTCACAGCAGCCAACCTCTGAGCTGCTTCCAAGACAGGAATCTGGAAACCCTGGAGACTCCAGGGAGGTGTAAAGGAACCCAGCGCCTCCTCCACCCGCTGAAGGGGGCTAAATGTTTGTTATCACTTTCCTTGTATGTAGTGTTGATGTCATTTCCTTTTTTCTCTAACCGTGGTAAAATATACATAACACAGAATTTACCATCTCAGCTCTTAAGTTCATGGCATTAGTACCTTCACAATCTTGTGCATCCATCACCATCTTCTATACTTCAAGAACTTATCATCCCAAGCTGCAAATTCTAATGCCATTACTGACACTTTAAAGAAGACTCCTGTCAAAGCTATGGTCTTTCAAGTAGTCATGTATGGATATAAGAGTTGGACCATAAAGAAGGCTAGATAGTGAAGAATTGATGCTTTTGAACTGTGGTGCTGGAGAGGACTCTTGAGAGTCCCTTGGACTGCAAGGAGATCAAATCAGTCAATCCTAAGGGAAATCAACCCTGAATACTCATTGGAAGGATTGATACTGAAGCTGAATCTCCAACACTTTGACCACCTGATGTAAACAGCCAACTCATTGGAAAATATCCTGATGTTGGGAAAGATTGAAGGCAAAAGGAGAAGAGGGTGGCAGAGGACGAGCTGGTTGGATAGCATCACCAATTCAATGGACATTGAACTTGAAACCTCCAGGAGATCGTGAGGGACAGGGATGCCTGCCCTGCTACAGTTCATGGGGTCACAGAAAGTTGGACACAATTGAGTGAATGAACAACAATGACAACAAAACAGCTCCAGCACCGAGACCATCACTAGGATCCCCCACATCCCCGAGCTGGCAGACACGCCTTTGAAAGGAGCTCAGAGCTGCAGGCAGGCTGGGGGCTTCCCCAGAGGAGCCCAAGCAGACCCAGGAGGCACCCACCCCCATCACCGTAACCCCAGCCTGGTCCTCCCCACCTCTCACCACCCACTCACCGCAGCTGAGCCATGTCTCTGCACAGTTCTATGTTGGGTCTCCTGGTCCGCTCATCCAGACGGGTCTGAGCCACCTTCAGGAAGGCAGACTTCTCCACGATGGCCTTCTTAATGGATTCGATAGTCATCTCTGTCTGGAAAATCTCCTGCAGGGTCTGTACCAGGAGAAGCAAACGCCTGAGGCTTTGGTGCCGAGCCACCAACAACCTGCTTCCCACCCTGTGCATCTGGGACCCAGACTCCTCCTCTGCTGGGAACAGGGGTTCTTTGGGGGCCTCCTCCTTCCAGCACCATCTGGGACCTGTGGTGGGGGGTACGGCACCTGCTCGCACCCTCTGGAGAGCATCCTCCAGATGCAGCGTGTGAGCACTGACACCACAGAAATGGGCAAATGCTGCAAACCCGAGCTCGCTGTCCTCCTTTCCCCAGATCACCGGCTGTTAGACAATGACTAGTGCACATTTGTACGTGACCCAGAGGAAAGGGGGGCCAGGAACTTTGAGGGCACCCACTTCCCTCCCAAATTTGTGTGCCCGTAAGTCTTTATCTTCCTGCTGTCTCTTCTCACTAACCTCAAAGAGGCTTTCCTGCCAGGGGAATATTTGCCTTGAAGCAAGCCAAGGTCAAGCTTTGGGGTGTCTCCATGGAAGGGAGGAGCGCTGGCAGTCTGGTAAGCCCGAATTTATATTCGTCTTGCCTTGGAAAAGGTCGCTCCAGTTACCTAAACCTGACTCCCTCCCAACCTGGGAAGCCCTTGAAGAGGTAATAAAGTTAAAATGAGGTCATTAGGGCTGGTCCTGATCTAGTCTGACTGGTGTCCTTATAAAAAGAAGCAACTGAGACAGACGTGCATGCAGGGGAGACCACGTGATGATGCTGGGAGGGGGTGACCATCTACAAGTCTAGGAGAGAGGACTTAGAAGAAACCAACCCTACAGATAACTTGACCTCAGACTTTAGCCTTCAGGACTGTGAGAAAATAAATGTCTGTTGTTTAAGCCACCCTGTCTGAGTGCTTTGTTATGGCAGCCTGAGCAAACTTAATACAGTGGTAAATAAAAATTTGTTGAACAAAGGGACTCCATCATGTCACCTTCTAAAACATCTTTAGATGGCCTCTCACTGGCCAGGGGACCCTGCCTTTAGATGACCTCTCACTCCCCTTTAGATGCCCAGGGGATCATAACCCTTCCCATCAATGAGATCCACGGTCTGGCTCCACCTAGTTTTCCAAGCTTCTCTTTCAGGACACACACTGTCTGTGCCAGCCAGACCAGGCTCTTTACAGACCAACTTAACCCCTGATCTGCCACCTCTCGAGGTTTTGTTCATGATGCTGCCCCACCTGAATGTTCGCTTCTTCCTCCAAACCCTGAAAACAATTTCTTTATTGGCTATTTGGCAACCACAACTTGTAATTTTCTATTGTTTTTAATTGTGTGTGAGCTTTTCAAGTTACTCACATCTTCTCTACAGACATAAACTTCCTGGAACGAAAACTACCTTTCATCCATCTCTCTGCCCTTCACCAAAGTAGAAGCTGTCTGGCCCAAATGTTTGTGGCCGAAAGAATTCACCGTGAGAAGGGAAGGTAAATTCTTGCAGCCTGGGAAGAATGGCGCCCTCAATCAAATAGTATCTCCTTAGAGAAACACAGGAAACAGTGTAAGGTTCTTAAAAAGAGACAGAAAACTATATGCAGCATAATCCACAGAAATAAGAGCTCCAAGCCCGATACTAAGTAATACAAGAGCTCCTTGTTTATCTTGAAACCCACGAATTCTGCCTAAATCCTTCATTTTATTGTCCTTACAAAACAAAAGCACTTTAAAAAGTTCAATATCAGAAACATCTTGAACCACCTAATAGTTTCCTGTGTTTGGTTTTATATTCCAGGAAAAAAGGGGGCTGAAATAATTTAACAGAAAACATGCCTGCCATATGTTCTAATAATAAATTCACTTGCTAGTTACATGCAGTGATTCATTAAACTTTAATAATAATATTTTTGTAACTGTTAAATACTAGGAGCCTTTCATGATATAGTACATTCTTTGTGTTCCCCAAACCAGTGGATTCCAATTTCATGCTGACACCTGGCTACCTGGCTAACATAAATGGTGTGCTTCCCACTGGTTCTCATTTTCTTTAGTCTGTATGGCCAGGAAGTTGTGTACCTTATGGTGGAGATCTGTGGTCCCAGGGCCCCTGCCCTATCTCTCCAGGTCAGCCACGGGCCCACCCCCCACTGCCGGGCTTACCTTTGCCAGGTGAGTCTGAATCTTATTTTTAGCATCCGCGGTTTCAGCAATGCGGTTGGTGAAAGCCAAGTTCACCTTGTTGAACTGATTCCACATCTCGTTGGCTGTCACCACCAGGAGGTTTTGGATATCGTCTCTCAGTTTCGCAGAGGCGGCTCGCTCACTCTGGGAGCGAAGAATGTTGTCATCGGTAAATTTGGCCCAGGACTCGGGCACTGAGACCCTGAAGAGAAAGGAAACAGATCCAGACAACGGAAACAATGATGAATCAGCCTAGACGGTCTGCAGGCAACCGTCCATCCGGCGAAAGGAAAAGAAAAAACCAAATCGCTTGATTCTGGTTTTATTGCATGAAGTGTAAACATCAGAGCAAAGCGTCTTTTAAACCTGTCTTAATTGCTCCTTGTTTCACTGCTTACTCTGGAAAGCCACAGCATATATTAAGTTCACTACCAATGTAGGGGGAGAAAGGATTGCTGAAAGGTGTGATTATGTCCATTTATTAGAAAGGTGTCTCACCAGCCCCATAAGCATTACGAAAAACTATTCAACCTCAGGACTAATCAAAGAAGTACTGCTGAAAATAGCTTACTAAATAACCCTTTGTCAGAACAACAAAGAGCTAAGAGAATGATTATTTTCCAATGAGCATGTTTAGAAACGGATTCGCTCATATCCTGCAGGTATATGTGTTAGTCGTTCAGATGTGTCAGACTCTTTGCAAACCCATGGACTGTAGCCCGCCAGGATCCTCTGTCCTTGGGATTTCCCAGGCAAGAATACTTGAATGGGTTTGCCATTTCCTCCTCCAGGGGATCTGCCCGACTCAGTGGTTGATCTTGCATCTCCTGCACTGGCAGGCATTCTTTACCGTCTAAGCCACCAGGGAAGCCCTATCCTGTAGGTAGGAATGTTGAATTGCTACAGGCCTGATGGAGAGCAGTGTGAACTGAGTCTCTCAGTAATTTCAATTAAAAATTCCACTTCTAATTGACATGTAACATTATATCAGTTTCCAGTGAGCAACATAACGATTTGATTTATGGATATACTGCAAAATGCCCACCACAGTAAGTCTAACTAACAGCATCACACACAGTTACAAATCTTTTACTTAGGATGAGAGTTTTTAAGATCTCTTCCTGGTGACTCAGACAGTAAAGAATCCGCCTGCAATGCAGGAGACCCAGGTTCTATCCATGGATCAGGAAGATCCTCTGAAGGAGGGTATGGCAACCCACTCCAGTATTCTTGCCTGGAGAATTCCATGGACAGAGGCGCCTGGCAGGCTATAGTCCATGGGGTTGCAAGAGTCAGATAGAACTGAGTGACTGAGCACACACACAAAGAAAGGTAACACAGGGTTATCAAGATGCAGAGAGACAGGTCCTCTCATAGAGAAAAGACCATCCATCCCAGATCGCATCCAGGGGCCTGGCAAAGAAACCATGGACAGGGCAGGTTTAACAAAGAGTGGAAATAAATTATTCTACGTTCAACTGTTTTTCAGCTTGTACCCCTATCACCCCACCCCCCATCCAGGGCATCTAATACACTGGTAACATTGTATTTTCTTTATGCCTAATTGTGTTTTCTAGGTTTTCTGCCTCAAGCAGGTGCTATTTTCATAGTTAGGATTATAAACAACAAATAATTCTTTTACAAAAGATCACAGGATACAAGTGGCCACAGAACACATGAGCTTACTGAGGACCCATCCACAGCAGGTGAGTCTTACCTTTCAGCAGGTGAGTCTTACCTTTCTGCGTCCTCCCATGACTTCCAACTTACCTGTATGCTACATCCTTTGGAAAGCAGAGAGAATGAATTCAGTGGCATGGAAATTACAGGCAGCCTGTTCCTACTTACGTGGCATCCACCCTCTCCACTCCACGGAAGTAGCTGACGCCATCTGACGTGTTTCGCAGATGGTGGCATTTATCGTCGATCCTGTAAGCCGACTGCTTGTCACTCAGGTCCTTCTCCAGCTCGTGCTGGGTGGCTCTGTTGGCTCTAAAAGGCAGAAGGAGACAGAGCATCAGGCTTAGGAAACAATATCACACAAGGAAGCGTGACTGCCCTTCTGGGTGGGGAACCACCCCTACCTCCACCCCCATCCCCATCCCCACACCCACTCCCTCCCATGACCTCCCATGACCTCCCATGACCTCCCATGAAAGTCTGCTCCTTCACACAATGTCCAACTTCTCCATTAAAAAGAGCTTCCCCTGCAACCTAGACATCCATCAACAGATGAATGGATCAAGTCGTGGTACACGTATGTGGTGGAATATTACTCCATGAAAAGGAATGAATTCGAGTCAGTTGAACTGAGGTGGATGAACCCAAAGCCTGTTATACAGAGTGAACTAAGTCAGAGAGAGAAAAACAAATATTGTATATTAAGGCATATATATGGAATCTAGAAAAAATGGTACTGATGAACTTATTTGCAGGGCAGGAATAGAGACACAGACGTACAGAACAGACTTGTGGACACAGCAAGAGGAGGAGAGAGGGTAGGACGAATTGAGAGAGGAGCACCAAATCATTCATTACCGTACGGAAAACAGATAGCCAGTGGGAAACTGCTGGAGAGTACTGGGAGCTCTGTGACAACCTAGAGGGTGGGAATGGGTGGGAGGTGGGAAGGAGGCTCAGGAGGAAGGTGATGTATGTATACCTATGGCTGATTCACATTACTGCACGGCAGAGACCAACACAACATTGTAAAGCAATTATCCTCTGATTAAAAAACAAGGAGCTTCCCCTGGAGATGTCCATACATATGAGGGGTGAGAACTCTGTCCAGACTGCCCCTGCTATGGGCAGAAGACATGTGGACACACAGAACTGGGTATCTGCAGCCCCTCAGGCTGGCCCCCATCTTCCTAACACACAAACCGCCCGACAGGACACTGGTTTGGAGCAATCTGTCCACATCTGTGCTTCCCTTTCCTTCTCCTTTTTCCTCTTCTACATTCTAACCCCTTTCTCTTCTATCCCTGGAGAGCAATCCCCTGTGAAGTTATTAGGAATTCAGAGTCAGCCTCCTTCCATCTGTAAATGACCTCAGTTTGTGGTCACCCCAGGTCTGAGAGGTTTGCCAGGAGATAGAAACCAAGAGTCAAAATGAACCTCCCTGGCAGGAGCCAGTGTGCAGAAAGAGATCAGGAGTTGCGGTACCCAAGCTCGTGCTCCAGCGGCCACCCTCCTGGGAAGGATGAGCCCTTGGTGAGCTCTGAGATGCTATAATCACAGAGTGCCTACTCAGCACCCAGGAAGCAAAATGGACAAAGCAAAGGTCTCCTCCCTAGAGAAGCATACATCCTACTGCAAGGCAATAGGCAGTCCCCATAAGGAATAGGCAAATCCTGTGGCTTGTTAGCGGAACAATTCAGAAAATAAAGCAGGAAAGGGAGGCCAGGAATGTGAGTGATGATTTTAAACAGGATAGTCATGGTAGGACTCCTAGAGGAGGTGGTGCTTGACCCAAGACTTGCAGAGGGAGAACCAGACCAGACAAAGCCTTACTGGCTGGCCATTGGAGGGAGTCAGCTTTTCCTCTTAGGTGGAACGAGAGACCACTGACTTACATTCTTAAGGGATCATTCTGATGTGGGACTGACAACAGACTTCAGGGAACAGAGAGATCCCATTAGCAGACACGTGCAGTTACCCAGGTGGGACACAGTGGTGGCTTAGACCAACAGGGCAGCAGTGAAGGAGGTGAGAAAGGCTTAGATTCTGGAGATGCTTTAAAGATAAAACCAGGGGACTCTCCTAAGAGATCAGACATCAGTGAAAAATAAATAAATAAAAGCTGATGTTGAGTCACTGGAATAGCAGGAAGCCATCAGTGGAGGTGGGCGAAATTGAGGGTGGGTGGGTGGGGGGGAGAACACAGAAGGTCTTGCTTAATGTCTGAGTGTCTATTTAACATCCAAGTGGAGATACGAAGTGGCTTGTTGGAACTGGGGAGAAAGTTCTGGGCTAGAGTAAAAATTGAGGAGGCAATCACATAAATCACATACAGAGAGCCCCTGAAAGAAGCAAAGAACTGGATAATCCTAGTCATTTCTGAATTCTGGTCTCAGCACAGAAAAGCCACCCAGAAAAACCTGTATGGGACTGAACCAGCTGATTTCTAACTTGGCCTGTGCCTTTGGGTACTTCACCGGACCTGTCAGAGCTCTTAATTTTGTGGTTTGTAAAGTAGAAATGAGGGTAGCGGCGTGCAGGTCGTCTGCATTTTGTGAGTTCTAAGTCAGTGCATCCGTGTACACAGGAAGAGAGAGGAGGGGGCTGCCTTCCTGCTGCTTCTCGAGTCCAATCTCTCGCCTCAGGCTACTGGGTTGAATCTCTGGGACTCGAAGACCTTTCTCAGCTGTGGTCTGGGACCAAGATGCTCCCCAGGCTTCCTCTCTTGGGCTGACACCCTTGACCTCCTCTGACCTGACTTCAGAACCGCCTTAGGAAGGTCTCTCCATCCACCACCTTAGCGCCCGAGACGGGGAGCGATCTATGCTACCATGTTGCTTTCTAATGAGACTCCATCCTCAGTTGAGATCCTCACTGGTCGTCTGTTTCTTCTTCATCACTCCTCCCAAGACAAGTAGAATTGAAACCCCTCTCCCCTTGCCTCTACTGGACCAAATCCAGTAACCATGTTAGGGATCCCCGCCCCCATCTCCTGGATGGAGAAACCATCCCAGGAAATTAGGTGGGCATTTTGCCCACTGTGTATTAAAGAGCAGAGTATATGGAAGATGAGCAGAAGATTTTAGATTATGAAAAAAAAAATGAAGATTAGGAACTGGACCAGAAGAAAACAGAACAATCATTGGAACCACACTCAACTGATTCTGAAATTAAAAGGAGCAGAAACCAGAAATTAACATCACAGCTGCTGTGTCTTACATCCACTTATTTAACCAAGCCATGGGCAGTCAGCCATCCACAACCAGTTCTTACCTATTTCTGAATTAAAGAGCCCTTTCAATCACAGTTTGAGAGACAACTTAGCCATCTGAACCTGACTGACCTTCACAGCATCCATCCTGAAGGTCAGCAGACTGAGAAAAACCACCACTTTCAGAGCACCTGTTCCCTTGCCTACATCACACATTACTGCTGACAACATCAATACAGGCAGAAAGATCGTTCCCTTTGTGTGACATATTCCACACTACTTCTTTCCATGGCCATCATCAAATGCATGTTGATCTTTCTAGTGCTTTCAGCCAGTACTTTTTCTATGCTGACAGTTGTTATCATGGCTTCAAACCCTCCTTTGACTATTATTCTTTGCCCTCAACCTCCACTATAAATATTAAGTACCTACTATCTACTATAGCGTTGGACAGAGGAGCCTCGTGGGCTAGAGTCCATGCACTTGCAAAGAGTTGGACATGACTGAGCGACTGAACTGAACTGAACTGAACTATCTACTACTGCCAAGAGAAGAAGAATTTGTATTTGGTTAGAGAGGATGGGTAAATGATTGCAATGCCATGGATGTAGTGAATGCAATGATGTCATCACAGCACCAAGGACGATGTACCAGGGTTGCCAGGAAACCAGAGAAGGCTGAGTTTTTAAGGAGGAGCAGAGAGTAAATATAAAAGTGAAAGTGAAAGTAGCTCTCAGTCAGGTCTGACTCTGTGCGACCCCATGGACTATAGCCTGCCCGGCTCCTCCGTCCATGGAATTCTCCAGGCAAGAATACTTGAGTGGGTAGTCAGTGCCTTCTCCAGGGGTAAATATAAAAGTGTCACAATTCATTGCTTTTCCAGCTGTTGATCTGAACGTGTACAAGTCAATCTCTTATCAAAAAATGAAGTCTTTTGAGTTAAAAGAAACTTTGGTCATACTTCAAGTTAGGAAAAAAATCCTTTCCAAACCATTGCAAAAAAATATTTCTTAAAATAAAAATGTAAAGTAAATATCCCAAATATTCACCTTAACCTCTAAATAAAAACATATAAGTGCATATGGATGTGTGTCCATGTATAAGAAATCCTTACATAATAAGCTAAGAGAAATCTGATTGGGAGGCATGGAAGTACAGCTTCGTGATAGGTTTTTAATTGTATAGAGAAGATAAAGTTCTTACGCCAGGTGGGCAATGGCCTTGTCCAAATACAGCTTCATCCTTTCTTGACAACACAGAATAATATCAACTTCCTACTCAATTGAAAAAAAAGGAACATTAATGTTTTGATTATTGAACATAACGTTCAAAGTCAACAATGTAACAAAACATCAATGAAGGAAAACTTTGTTACTGGGAGAATTGTGACATAAAATAAGAAAATAATTTGATACCCCCTTATTTACTTATATGCCCCTATGACATTGCTGTCTCAATAGTAGACTGAAATTCACCCTTTACAGGGTTATAGTTATAACTATATTATGAAACAAGTTGGGACAGGGGTAAAATTTTAGGAGTTTTCTTTATCTTTTATTGCTGGTCTCTAATTAAATCAATAGATCAATTAATCAAATTCTGGTGATGCACAAGGGTGAATTGAATGCATGGCTTCTTCTATGCCAAGTACTCTTCCAAGAAAAGCAAGTTTGGGAGGGAAAAGGATAGCCTAAAAGGCAGTTCTCTCTGGAAGTGCATGTGACTTTCAAATGACCCAGTTTTATGTTCCAGATAGAGCCCAACCTCCACCCTGGGAAGCCAGCCCTCCCCTCGTCCAGCCTCTGCCCTCAGCCCAGCTCCTATACTAGTATAAAAAGCTGCACTATCCACACCATCTGCTTGGCCACACACGTGGTACTTTGATGCTGCTAGAATGTATACACTGTTGACATATGTTGTAGCAGAGACTGTTTCAATATTTACTTCCCTTTGAACTTCATATTCACATATCAGAACCCTACATAGCACCAAGAAGACATTTAAGAAGTGCACATAAGCACTGTTGCCACTTCTTCAAGTGAAAAATGATCATACCAGCCTATTGAATAATGAACTCCTGAACACTCTCCTGTGACATAAAACAATACTGCGATGAACAACCTCAAAAATATTTAGACATCACCAATGGGGATGCCTTTTTTCAAGGTTTTGACAAGTGCAGCCAAGTTGCCCTTCAGAAAAGTTATCCCCAATTATTAATCTAACAATAAATGAAGGTGAATTTCCTCGCCTCGCACACCCAGTGGACACTACAAATGCTCTCAATCTTTGCCAACGTGACAAGCCCCCCACATAAAAGCACACTTGTCCAGATTTGCATTTTTATATTATGACTGTATATTTGTTCATGATTTGACTTTCTTCTTTTGTGAACCACCTGTTCATGTGCTTGTATACCTTTTCTGCTATGTTTTTCTTATTTATAAATATTCTTATATTTAGAATTCAATCTTTTCCCATTATATGTCATAAGTACAACGTATGTGTCATAAAATATTTTTTTACCAGTTTGGTCCTTGCCTTTGTATTTTGTGTGTGGTGTTTTTTGATACAGACATTTATGATTTCTATGGTGTTAAACTCTTAAAAGTTCCCCCTTTGGGTTTCTGCTTTCATTAATTTGATTTAAAAGTCTTCTCTTCAATGTTAATTATTACTCAACCATATAATCTTCTTATTCTTTCATTGCTTAATTGGTGAACATAAAAATATTATGCCTAGAGCTTATTTCAGTGATAAGCCTCCTACCTGATCCTCCAATACACTGAATGATTGTAGTAAATGAAAAGCTAAATTCCCACAACATGTGACTAAGTTGCCCTGCTCTTACAGGCAGCAAGGATTTCTCACATGTTCCCACCATAGGCTGTGCATGTCTTTGATTGTTAGTACTATTCACTCTTCATCTTTCTCTCTGGCTTGGTGTGTGTGTATAGCTAGTTCACAGAGGTGTTGAAAAAGGATCCATGGAATACTGCTTAGAAAACACCACTTAAAACCCAAATTCTCAGTGAGCTTTTATGCTATGTGTACACGATGCACACAGAGGGAATTCCTGGAACTTCAAGTGGAAAAAAACTACATTTAATGAGACACTTGCTATAGGATCCTTGAGTGGTATTTTTTACATCTGAATTTAAATAATGTCATATGGTGAATGTCATGGTTGGAGGTAGAAGGCTTCATGAGGATAGGAAATGCCTGAAACCAAAGACTTTTGGAACCTGTTCCCCAATGCTAACACCTACTAATTCATACTCATCCATGGACCTCCAGGAAATGCTCCCAATGGAAGCAAATGCAAGTCAAACGCCTTATCCCCTCAACCATCCATGAAAATAACATTTACAGAAGATGGTGAACACAGACAGAGGGCAAAAGTGTGAGAAGAGCCCAAATGTAATCAGATCAATAGCTACCGCCCGACATCCAGGGAAGCAAACAGAGATCACAGCAGGAAACCCAAGAACAGCACACTAGGAGCCTGGCAAGTGGGCCCACTCCCTCTGGATCCTGAACTTGGGGAGGATCAATAAACCCCATGAATAAAAGGGTCATGGTGACTGCTCTGCATTTCTCAGAGTCTCAGTGATCAGAGTAAATATGTCATGGCTTAAGATGGAAAGAGAACAAGGAGTCACATCCAGGCATTTGAAGAATCTCGAATGAATCCTACTCTTTGAGCAGGTGAAACCTTTGTGAGGCATCCCGCTACAGTTCTCCTCTTGGGAGCTATATAATCTTGGGATGGGGAGAGGGGTTGGGGGAGAGAACAGAGACTTCACAGCCTTTGGCTTCCCCTCACCTCAAGCAAAACCCCACCTTGTCGCCTCACACTCCTGGGTCTTGGGTGGGATAGTGGTTAAAGATACTCTTTGGCATCAGATAGCCCAGCTCCAAGACTAGCTTTGCAGATGCTGGGACCAAAGGCAAGTTATAAACTAAGGGAGATAACACTTACCTTTCTAGGCTGCAGGGTAGATAATTATATGCCTTGCAGGTGAAAAGTTCTCAATAAGGCGTGGACCTTATACAACATGACATGGGTCATACAGCGTGACTCAGAACTTGATCCTCACGTACAATGTGGGCTCTGCCCTATTCTCAGCTGAGGGACATCGGCCGGGTCACAAGAACCCTGAATGCTGACCACACGTGTGGCTCTGTGCTGACTCGGCTACACCCTGAACTGTGGACATACAGTCATTTCTGGGATCTCACTGTTAAACCCAGACCCTGCATCTAGCGGAGTGTCGTTCTATGTATCCATGTTAACTGAGCCTTTTTAAGTTTGGGGAAAGTGGGTCATCTAACACACTCTTAACAGAGTGAAAGTGAAAGTTGCTCAGTCATATCCGACTTTTTGCGACGCCACGGACTATACAGTCTATGGAATTCTCCAAGCCAGGATACTGGAGTGGGTAGCCTTTCCCTTCTCCAGGGGACCTTCCCAACCCAGGGATCGAACCCAGGTCCCCCACACTGCAGGCAGATTCTTTATCGGCTGAGCCACAAGGGAAGCCCAAGAATGCTGGAGTGGGTAGCCTACTCTTCTCCAGTGGATCCTCCCAACCCAGGGATCGAATAGGGGTTTCCTGCATTGCAGGCAGATTCTTTACCAACTGAGCTATCACGGAAGAGGTTACTAAAATCAAACTTTAAAAATCAAACTGTAAGTCCAATTGTATCTGGAATCTGGATGATGGCAAATATCACCTATAGGAGTAGACACTCCATTTCTTTGTGGGGTTGTTTTTGTTCTGGTTTTGGGTTTTTGTTGTTGTTGGGGGTTTTGTTTTGTGGAATCTTAGTTCCCCAATCAGGAATCAAACCCATGCCCCATGCAGTGTAAGTGTGGAGTCTTAACCACTGGACTACCAGGGTTTCTATATACAGTGTTTTATAATGATGATACTCTCAAATTCTCATGTATCCTTGAGTTTGGGATGCAGAAGGTATTTCCTTATAGATCTGCATTCTCAGTATTTGTTCCTCCATCACTTGAAGTTGACCCATCACCCGGTCACTTGTGAGGGGGCTGTAGTCCCCCAACCTATTTAGAGGCAAAAATCCCAGATAGGGGAGGCATGTCTTGCTACTGGCAGTAAGAACCCAGTCAGACATTCTTTCCATGCTGGCATCAAGGTTCTATTCAATACTGTCTCGGAGCAGAATCCTCCTGGGACAGAGTTATAGAACCAGTAACAGGTCCCTCAATAGGAAGGGAAGGCAGAAGGCATCAGGGCCCAAGAACAGTTCACTTTCAGGCTTCATGAATGTGAATGAAAAAATTAGTTACCAACGGACATATGTTTGGCACTTGGGGATGCAGAATGAATGCTTAATAGAGTATGCAAGCTGAAAAACAGAAACGGGGAAGAGTACCAGGTACATAAGAGCTGAAACCTTTAAGGAATGGCAGAGACCTTGTGAGAGAGAGCCTAGGAGGTAAGATCAGAGAATGGAGAACAAAATCATCTTTAGTTGGTGGGAGGTGGAAGAGAGCCTAATGGGAGGACCAGCACCATGCATCAGATATAACTATAAGCTTCTGGATGGCAATTTCGCTGCATGTCAAAAGCTCTACAAATGCATGTACCCTCTAACAAATCAATTACATTTTCAAAAATGTATTCTAAGGAAATAATCAGAAATACATACAGTTATTAATACCATGCCTGTCTGAGGGCAAGGGCCACTTGGAAATCTCTGTACCTTCCCCTCTGTTTGGCTGTGAACCTAAAAATGCTCTAAAACATTCTTTAAAAGTAGCACTGCCTTTCCAAATCTACATTTAAGAATAAACACCACTGAGCATGTATCCCACCAAAAAAAGCACGTTCAAATTCATAGATATAGTATAATTCTAATCTTGAAGACATGTTTGTGTGTCTTCAGATTGGGTGACACCTACTTAAGCATGATTACAAAGAAGACCAAAACACTCTAAAATGAATAGCCATTCCTAAGTGAACTTTGAGTGATTTTTATCTTTTCTTTTTTTATCTTCTTTATCTATTTTTATGTTTATTGCATTTTTCAAATTCCCTCAGGAAATATCTATTACTTTTATAACCCCCCAAAAATATATCTTTATAAAAAAATAACATACTCCTACTGTATAGCACAGGGAACTATATTCAATATCTTGTAAAAAACCATAATAGAAAAGAATATGAAATGTATACATACGTGTGTATATTTTATACACACACACACATACACACACACACTCATATATGAATCACTCTGCTGCACACCAGAAGCTAACAAAGTGAAAGTTGCTCAGTCGTGTCCTACTCTTTGCGACCCCATGGACTATATAGTCCATGGCATTCTCCAGGCCAGAAATACTGGAGTGGGTAGCCTGTCCCTCCTCCAGGGCATCTTCCCAACCCAGAGACTGAATCCAGGTCTCCTGCATTGCAGGCAGATTCTTTACCAGCTGAGCCACAAGGGAAGCCCAAGAATACTGGAGTGGGTAGCCTATCCTTTCTCCAGTGGATCTTCCCAACCCAGGAATCGAACCGGGGTCCTCTGCATTGCAGGTGGATTCTTTACCAACTGAGTTATCAGGGAAGCCTGTTGTAAATCAACTACATTTCAATAAAAAAAATTAAATGTATTTTTTTCTAAATGCTATAAATATCTGATACTATAACTCCTTACTTATAAGTGTCTTTATGAAACATCATTTTTGTTTCTATACATTAAATGGTAAATGCACATTTGCAAGTAAGTTTCTTGTTATTGAAGGATTTGCCCCATATTTACCGTCAGCAGCTCTTTTTCCACTTCATCATGAACTAGATCAATTCCCATTCTCTTCTCTCGATGAAATAGACATTCTCGGGCTACCTACAAACACAGAAATAATGGAAACACTAATACAAACTGACTAAAATCAGTGACTAGCACTTCTAATAAACCTGTTTCTAAGACAAGTCAATAAATACTCCCAATACCAACTTTTCTAGCCATTTTGTTGAAAACCAAACAAGAAACTCACTGTGACAACTAAATGAATCCCTACTGCTAGTAAAAAGGTAAAGAGTTTGAAAAACTACTGATTTGAAAAGTTGACAAAATGAAGCAGATGGTGTCCTACCTAATCCCCACAGATCATCTGAGAAAATTATTTGGCATTAATTCCTTCTAGAGAATAGTTCAATAACCCAAATCATAGTCTTCAAGATATTATTTCTAAATATTTCTACTGAGAAGTGAGAGGAATAAACAGTGATTATTTAAAGACACCAAAACATTTATGAAGCCAAAAATCCAGGTGATTATTAAGTACCATTTATTGCTTTCCTAATTATAAAAATAGTACACCTCAGTCATTAATCGAAAAAAAGAGAGAAGTTGAAAATGTTATTCATACTCTTATCACCATTGTGTTTGCTTTTAACAAAACAGAAGTTATAATGCCCTCATAATTTTACATTTTAGGATTGATATTAAATAGTAGACCTGAAATAGTCTTTGAGACAAAGTATGTTAATGACTCCAATAGAAAACAGCTTAGGTAGCCAACAACTAAATTATGTATGAAAGAGCATTATGTGTTAAACTACTATCTTTCAAAGAGTATTTCATGACGTGGGATGTTAAAAATTTTTTAAGTATAAAATAGTATGTACACCATAATCTGGATATAATGTCATTGAACAAAATCTTGGAGTGAATCTCTAATTTTTTAATAGTACAATGTACACTTACTAGAAGATGAATTAATGAGTTGAAGGAAATTCTGATTTTTTTTTTTTTTGGAAATTCTGTTTTTAATGTGTATTACAAAATTGCTTTCCAGCAAGTTTCTTTTTTTTTTTTTTTACATAGTATGTGCTTTTTTAATACCAGGACAAGCATCCTCTGAGAGGTCAGGCAGGCCCTTGATTAACATCCGCTTCATGTTTATGCTGATAATACTTCATGCTTTATATGCTTCTTTGGATTTTTAAAAGTATGCCGTGCTGAGCACTACCAAAAATGAAATGTTTGCTGCTTTCAGGGGCTCCTGGTCTAAAGAGGGCTTCAGCCACAGGTGGAAATGTGATCTAACAGGCCCTGGTGGAGGAACACTGGGTGCCCTGGAGCCCAGGGAAGGCTTTCCTTAGGAGGGGACATTTGAGCAGAGCCCTGAGCTCCCAGCAAAGGAAGGAAACAGCTGCATGGCGTGTCTGGCCATGGGGTATAGAGCCTGCACAGGAGCAGGGGCGGGGGGGGCCTGAGTCAGGTGATCCTGGGGTGGAGGAACCCCAAGGGGTCAGGCCTAGGAGGTAGATGAGCATTGTAGGTAGATGTGTCATTGCCCCTCATCCTACCCAGGGTGCCAGGGCTTCTACGCCAGGGCAGGGGGTGAGGTCACTGTCCCTCTGGGCACAGCCATTGATGAAGGGTACTCCCAAATGCCCCTTCAGACATGAATGGGCCCCCTCTCAAGGAGACAGGCTTGAATGGCTGCCACTGGGCACATGAAAATCCCTTGTGTCTGGTCCTGATGCTGAGAGGGCCCTGCAGGCAGGCCTGGGGCCAATCTCCGTGGCAGGTCAGCTCCAGTCCCCCCGATTCCAGCTGTGCGGGTGGGATGCTGGGCATCTCACCATCCCTCCTGCAGGCTCAGGGCAGCACACGTTCCTCGTGGCACCCTCTGGCCACCGGCTCCATCTTTTCCCAGCAAGTTTCTACTCATCCATAGTCTACTAGCAATATATGGAGTATCTGTCTTCTGCATTTTTGCTGACCCTATACATTATCAGTTTTCATTTTTGCAAATTTGAATGAGCCAAAGTTTCACTTCATGCCTTAGCTTGCATTTGTTTCAGCTTGCAAGTTTATCATTGAGTTTTAATATTTTTTCTTACATACAGTGGACCATCGGTATATCCTCTTTTGAGATGTATCTGTTCATGTGACTAATTCTCATTTTAATTAGGGTCTTCTGCTACTGTGCTGATTGTAAATGTTTAAACACACAAGATATCTGGACCAAAAAAACTGCAGAAAAGAAATTTAAATTATACCCATCTTATGGAAAGCAGTCATCATTGAAAGGAATGGTTAGGGAAGAAATTTAATCTCCTCTGGAATTAAGTAAAAGTAAGTGGCTATCATTTTAAGGGTTCATTAAAGTGGGAGTGGGAGGGATGTAGAACAGACCAGAAATCCTCAAAATGACCCAGAGCTCAGAGAAAGTACGGAAGGACTTCTGATCCCCACCCAAAAAAAATTCATGGTAAGTTCATTTAAAACAATCTCATTAGTGTCCTATAGACCTTTCTCAGGACTTCTGTGGTTCTGTGTATTTGTGTGCACTTGTGTTCAGTGGGGAGGAGGCACAGTGAGAAGTTACAGTGTGGGGGAGGGGTCTCCAGCAAACCCTCCAACCCACTAGACTTCCAGCTCCTCAATACTCTAATCTCGTCTACTACAGATGCCATAAAATAAGACCTACTGGAAATGCTTATCACTTGGAAAATGAGTTATACAAACATGGAGTAAAATGGTGTTAGCCTTGCCCATCCACATACATACAACTTCTCAAATAATTTGTCATTTGCACATCTTCAGAGACAGAATGTTTTCTTTCAATGGTAGTGGACAGAATGTGGTCAGGGTAAGGAGGAGAGCAACATACACTCAGAGGGTTAGCGGTAATTTGATCTCCACTCAGAAGCCTAATCAGAGGCCAGTAACCAGATGAAAGGCTGCCTCCAAGACCACAACTGGCTCAACCTCCATCCATTTCTCTATTTAATCAAACTCATTCCATCTCCTAAGAAGGTCTCATTTGATCATTTCACTGTGCCCCAAAGTGGAATCACCACATGCACTCAGAAGGCATTTCATGACATAGACTAAAAGAACAGCTTATCTTTTTCCTTTCAAACAATGTTTATATTAGACTAGGGACAGCAATGACCAAGCAGCCTATTTAAGAGACAGGAAAATGGCATTTTCACCATAAAACACTGTGTGTCCTAAGAATGTCACTTTTTCATACTGTTCATGGGGTTCTCGTGGCAAGAATACTGAAGTGGTTTGCCATTCTCTTCTCCAGTGGACCATGTTCTGTCAGAACTCTCCACCATGTATGGTGGGAGAGCTGGACTACATGTATGGATGGATGGATGTGAGATACAGTAATGTATGGACATGAGAGTTGGACTATAAAGAAAGCTGATTACTGAAGAATTGATGCTTTGGAACTGTGGTGTTGGAGAAGACTCTTGAGAGTCCCTTGGATGGCAAAGAGATCAAACCAGTCACTCCTAAAGGAAATCAGTCCTGAATATTCATTGGAAGGACTGATGCTGAATCTGAAACTCCAATACTTTGGCCACCTGTTTCGAAGAACTGACTCACTAGAAAAGACCCTGGTGCTGGGAAAGATTGAAGGCAGGAGGAGAAGAGGATGACAGAGGATGAGATGGTTGGATGGCATCACCGACTCAGTGGACATGTGTTTGAGCAAGCTCTGGGAGTTGGTGATGGACAGGGAAGCCTAGCGTGCTGCAGTCCATGGGGTCACAAAGAGTCGGACATAACTGAGTGACTGAACTGAAGAATGTTGCTTTAATTAGCCTGTGTGCAGAATTTTCTCCTTTTTTTTTTTTTGGCTGTGCCACTGGGCTTGCAAGAGGAGATCTTTGTTCTCCAACCATGGATTTTACCAGTGACCTCAGCAGAGAAAACACAGAGTCCTAACCACTGAACCACCAGAGAATTCCCAAATTCTTTCTAGTTAAACGGCTGTTCTGAAAAATGTGTGAAAAATAGCAGTGGTTTTATCATCAATGAAACTTGTTATAGATATACTGATAGGGGCTTGGCTCCTACAGGTTAACTGAAATATACTGCAATAGATAAATGATCTTGACAATTCAATGACTGGGTTATAAAATCCATTTAGTAAAGCCTTATGTTTACCTGAAGAGGGGCTTCTGTCTCCATCAAAGCCCTCTCCAACCTTTTCTTAATGTCAGTTAGTTCATTTGTCTCTCCAATCATTGCATCCAACTCATGAATGATTTCAGATTTCCAAAACCCTATGTCGTTGACTCGTTCTCCCAAGTTTTGGGTGGAGTCTGCCTGGGTTTTTCTCGTTTGCTGGTATTTGTCTTGAATCAAGCGAGATGTGTCCACCCTTCGTCTCTCTGAATTGTGTCGGGAAGTGCTGGACTCTTGAAAGTTGGTTAGGTTGGACCTGTACCAATCGTCAGGTGTATACCTGGTGAAGAGGGTGGTTCTGTTGGAGACAAAAGGTAGCATGGTGCTCTCAGACACCCTCTGAGATCTGGTGCAGTATGGATCCAAGGTAGGCCAGTTGGACGCTGCTTTGTAGTATGTGCTTGGTCTCCAAGGCAGGCTCAGGCTATGGGTCAAATTGTAGTGGGGGAAGCGATCCCTGTAGCTTGAAGCCATGGTACTGATGGCTGGTAGGAAGCTAGTTGGTGTTGGTCTGGGGTGGGCATAAGTTGCCGTTAAGGTAGAACCTAGAAGCTCCATGATGCTCAAACACTATTTGTAAATCTCTCCTGTTTAAAAGAGGTCAGGGGAGGCAAAAATAGATAGTCACATAAACTAACTTAGGCAAAAACTTACACATAAAAGGTCACATCTGCCTTACTATAAGTAGCAATGATAACACATTAGATATTTGTTTTAATTTGATGTCCACCTTTACTAGTGATAACATATCCCAATTATTTTTTTTATCTCTGTATCTCTAGACTGTAGTCAAATCACATTTTTGTAGATTTTGGCCATTTGAGTTTTTGAAACTTTTTTTTTAATTATGAAAAGTAACATTGTCTTGTAACAGATTCAAATCAAGAGCCTGAACCATGCTTTTTAACAGGTTGGGTTCAAATCTTGGCTGAGCTCTTTACTAGCTGTGACACCTGTGCAAATGATTTAACCTCTCAGTGCCTCATCTCTAAATTGGGAATAATAATAGCAATCACTACTTTGGATTGCTACAAGCAGTATTAGCAGCAAGGGGTTACTTGGTAGTATTCCCCAGCCCCAGCCCCCATCGAGCTTCCTAAATAAACATGCGATCAGAGTAGCAATGGCAAGTATGCAAACACAGTTCAAGGAAGTACCCTGATACCCTTTTCGTGCCAACTTGCCACCCCCAATATACACAGACATGTAACTCAGCCCCTGCAGGGCTATGAGGATCGAGGAGGATGAGGCTGAGTGTCTGGAATACTTAGCATAGTTCTGAGCACAAAGTAAAGGCTCATAAATGTTAACTTTAAAAATTACTAGTGTCGAGGAATAAACAAAGTAAAAGATGACTATCCATTCTTTCCCATCAAAAAACTACTCTTCAGAAGTATACAGTGTGAATAGTTCATTAATAGCTTTATCTTTCCAGATTTTTCCTTTTCTTATACTAACACATATACTATTTTTAAATCTGTATACATCTCCCTAACATACATATGCACAGGGCTTTTTAATACAAAAACTGAATTACCGTAATCATTATCTTAATCATCAATGCATTTTTGCATTATATAGATATTATATATATATAATATATATATAACATGCATTTTTAAAAATAAATGTATTTTGGATCTCTCTCCTTATTAAAACATATAGACGCACTTCATCCTTTTTGGGGGCTTCCCAGGTGATGCTAGTGGTAAAGAACCCATCTGCCAATGCAGGAGATGTAAGAGACACAGGTTCGATCCTTAGGTCAGAAAGATCCCCTGGAGGAGGGCATGGCAGTCCACTCCAGTGTTCTTGCCTGGAGGATCCCATGGTCAGAGGAACCTGGAGGGCCACAGTCAATAGGGTCTCAAAGAGTAGGACACAACTGAAATGACTTAGCACACCCTTTTTTACCAGCTGAAAAGTATTCTATTGTCTGGAATTTGAGGTCACTGTCGGTCCACAAAGCCAAGGATACCATAGACTATGACATACATTTCAGCGTCTAAATGTCATTCTACTTGGGGGTTAATGTCTATGGACTCTTTTACTGAAAATAAAAAATAATATCAGATCCAATTTTGCAGTCTGCTCATAACAAACAAACAAACAAACAAACAAAACAAGTTCAATGATTCTTTAAATAGCTGTTTTGACACCATTGGTACCCAAACCACAAAATGATCTATTTGTCGAACTGTGGCTGAATCAAAATCCATTTGGACCGAATGTGATGAAACAGCTGCCAGCTGCCACAGGTGGTGTCCCCCACAACACTAGCTCCCTGACTATTTCCTAATTCTCCCCTCCCTCAGCCCCCAAATGCCTTATACTGGCCAAGCTTAGGTTACAACAGAGAAAACAAAAGCCTTAACAACCACTTGCCATTGTGAATCTCTGTTTGAAACACACTGCTTTTTGAAAAAGCAAATTCAAAGTAACTTGAGACCTTAGGGGCCTCATGGCTACTTTCAGTTTCAACCTCTTCCTCAAGTCCCATATAGAAATAAACTGGTCAGTTTTCTTTGAGAAAGAAGCTTCAAGTAAGACTGGACCACTCTTGATTGGCTTTTTTTTAATTACTGACAACAATGAATCTAAAAGTTAATGTCACACTTGGTTTTTCAACCATGGAATTCCAGGTATAGAATTACTACATGTATTTAATCGACACCTATGATGTTGAATCTTAAGGCATTTCAATCCCTGTTTGTCAAATATTGAACCATGAGTCATCCACTCCAAAGGGTGATATGTGAAAGGCTGAGGTTCACAAGCCAGAGAAGACCTATGAATTGAGAAAGTCAATATGGCTTGTAAAAGCATCCAGTGATATTTTTAAATTAGAGATGGGATATAATTTAAAACCTGGAATCTGAAGTATAAACTCAGTTGCTTTAAAAGTTCCCAGATATAGAGCTCCTCACATATGGCAGTAAGTTTCACATGAGAGACAATATTCTCTCTCTATTCCAGACTCCAATATTCCATATTCTATCTTATCAGCCATGACTGTGCTCAATTGCTCAGTCGTCTCTGACTTTTTGTGACCCCAGGAACTGTGGAGGGACAGGCTCCTCTGCCCATAGAATTTTCCAGGCAAGAATATTGGTATGGGTTGCTGTTTCCTATTCCAGGGGATCTTCCTGACTCCAGGGATCGAATCCATGACTCTTGTGTCTCCTGCATAGGCAGGTGGATTCTTTACCACTCCACCACCTGGGAAGCCCTATAAGTCATTTAGGAAGACCTAATAAAAGACAACAGCATGGTAATATTTTTCCCCACTTTGGCCAAGAAAATTAAGAATGTCATGGCCCCTAAAATACTTAACTCAAAATAGATTTCTGCCTTCAACCAGGAAAGAGCAATAAAAAGTAGACTTAGCCTCTTCCAACTAAAAAACTAGACAAAATATATGCAGCAACTGTTTTCAGGCAGCACAGGACTCCAATCCCTGAGAGAAGAGAAACAAATACAGTGAGCCCTCTGATCACCTGGAGGCAATTTCCAGACCATGGGGAAAACAGATGAAAACCAAACACAGCCTGGAAGTTCTGACCTCAATTTGTGAGTTTAGGAGGAGGTCAGAATTTGGAAAGTCTGAGACAGCTGGAAGCTGTGATGCAGGATTCTGGAATAAAATGATTTATGCAGAAACAGAGCTCCATAAATCTATGTAGGGTCCACTTGAGTCTTTGCTGAGTAACAGACTGTACAGACATCAAGAGACATTCCACAGACCTTAGCAAAGAACGATGGCAGTGTTGTTAGCTGAACAATTCCTAGAGCCAGAGAAGGCACAGAGACATTCTGAACCCAGACCAGTTGGAGTAGAGACCTATCAGTGATCACCTGGAGCATTTGGTGGAGACCCCAGAGAGGTCACACATTAGAATGGGACTGACCTATCTCTAGACTGAAGGTACTAAAGACTCCAGCAAAGCTTGAATACAGGCCTCAAAAAACTGAAGCTAACCCACAAGTAAAGTGCCTGACAACAACAAGATGCTGAAACATATAATACCACAATGTCCAGCACCCAATCAAAAACATCCAGACGTGCCAAGAAGCATAAAAATGTGACCCATAAATAGGAGAAAAATCAGTCAACAGAAGCAGGCATAAAAATGGCGGAGATGTGATGGAGATATAAAACTATGTACAAGTATTTAAAGAAAGACAAGAACATAATAGAAATATGGAAGACTTAAAAAAGAACCAAATGAAACTTTAAGGATAATGTGAAACAGATCATCAGTCCAGGTTTGATGCATGGCACAGGGTGCTCAGGGCTGGTGCACTGGGATGACTCAGAGGGATGGGATGCTGAGGGAGGTGGGAGGGGGGTTCAGGATGGGGAACACATGTACACCCATGGCTGATTCATGTCAATGTGTGACAACAACCACTACAATATTGTGAAGTAATTAACCTCCAATTAAAGTAAATAAATTTTTAAAAAAAAGAAACTTTAAGGATAAAACATACAATATATATTTTCACAATTTCACTGGATTGGATTAATTGCAGAATAGACACCAGAGAAGCAAAGATTAGTGAGCTTAAATCTAACCAAACCAAATTACAGAGTTTTTTAACTAACTGAAAAAAATGAAAGGGGCTCAGTAAACTACAATATAATATCAAGTGGTCTAACATCATGTACTCAGAATGTCATATTAGGAGAGGAGACAACATATCTAAAGAAATAATGGCAGGAAATTTCCCAAATTTGGTGAAAACTATAAACCGCTAGGTCTAAGGAGTTCCACACACTCCAAGAGGATAAGTATACGCCTGTATGTGTGCACACACACCACCACTACCACCACCTCCTCAAGGCTCATCTTAATAAAAGTGCTGAAAGTCCACAATAAAGAGAAAAATTTTTAATCAGAGGAAAAAGCACATTAAGTATTCAAGAAAAAAAATAACTGAAGAATTCTTCTCAGAAGCTCTGCAAGCCAGAAGACCATCAAACAACCTCTTCAAAGGACTGGAAGAAACTGTAATCCTATTCTATTCTAGAATTCTATTCCAGTGAAAGTATCCTTCAAAGATGAAGTTGAAAATAAAAGTTTTTCTTAATAAAAGAGCAAAAGCCAAGAAAATTCAGCAGCAGCAGAACTGCAGTAAGAGACTTGGTAAAGGAAATTATTCAGGCAAAAGGAGATTATACAAGATGGAAACTTGGATCTGCCCAAAGAAATGAAGTGTCAGAAATGTTAAGTATGTGTGCTAACAGAAAAAAAAAAAAAAAAAACCTTTTCTAACTTTTAAAGTTCTCTAGAAGATGGTTGTTTAAAGTAAAAATAATAAAAAATGTACTGTGAAGCTTATTATAAAAAAATAAAAGTTGTATGATAATAATAGCACAAATGATGGGAGAGCTGAAATGGAAAAGTACTACTGTAAGGTCTTATGTTTAAATGGAATAATATTATTTAAACATATACTGCAATAAGTCAAAAATGCATACTGTAAACTTTAGAGCAGGAGTTCTCAAAACACGATCCAGGAAACCAAAGGCTTGCCTCAGACCTCCTCTGGGGTAA